CAGTATATAATTGGTCTTATAAATATCAAAAAGTGAAAAAATAAACCCAAACTAAAAACGAACATACTCAGTTAACAAACAAATTACATAGACACTGAGCCAGACAACATTCTCGTGTTTCAATTAATTTTAGTAACAAGGTGATAGCAAAATTGACGGACTTTAGAGATGTAAATGTATGATGACCAACATTGCATTTACTTAAAAGGTTGGTACACCAACATACATGGCGCCTAATGTGTTAAACATAAAGAAGAAATGCAGATATCTTTTCTTTTGGCGTTACGTTATTCGAATGTGTAATGTGGAAAGACCCATTCCAAAGGAACGGTTTATGTTTGGATGAATATCGTCAACTTTTTTGAAACTGAGAAAATTGCCAAATTTAAACGACGGCACTTGATGTTGTAGATGATATGCAGTACCACAACCTTTATAAATGAATAAAAATTGTTTTTTTCTTTAATTAGAAAATATTAACACTTTTTAATTATTTTGAATTATAATTATTATTATTTTTGTTACGACTCATTTACAAAAAATAAATTATAAATTTTATGTAAATTAATATCCGATCCAATTATAGCTGCAGAAGGTTAATTCTTTGCAGAAGTTTGTTTCGTCTAACTGTAATATGATTAACTGAAAACGTGTATACAACAATATTAAAATTGAAAGAACTAAAAATTTTGGGGAGACGGATAATTGGCCTCAGTGAAAACTGGCCATGAGGAAAACTGGCCACATTATTCAATAAAAGTTCAATAACAATTCAACTTTTTTCTCATTTGTTTTTTTAAATAAAAACGATAAATTGAAAAATAAATAAATGGAAGAAATACCAGAAATTGCTTTTCTTGAAAGTCAAAGAAGCTATCAGATGCCTTACACAAATGGCTGCAAATTCAAACCCGAAAAAAAGGATCGAATAAAATTTAAATGTTCTCACAAAGGTTGTAAAGTTAGAATCGAACTGGTTAAAACTGAGAGTGGAAATTATAAATACACTTTTTAAATGATGCAATTCACACACATGATTATGTCGATTATTTAAATGATTTGTTTCGAATACGTTTAAAAGAAGCGGTTAAAAAAGAAGATTCCAAAAACAAGACAACAAAACAAATAGTAGTAGAGCAATACATTCAAGGAACAACTCGAAGAATTTCTGTCTGTGAAAAACAAGTCAGAAAGGAAAGACAGCCATACACTGTAACCAAAACACAAGACATAGAATTTTCCGAAATAGAAAAAGAAATTGTATTATATCAAGATGATGATATGATAATTTTTGGAAAACAAGATTATGTTGAGTTGTTAAAAACTTCTCCAGTTTTATTTTTTGATGGCACATTTAGATCATGTCTGTGTTTGTTTAGTTAAATTTATTATAATAATATAATACAATAACAAATAGCTCTTTTTATCAATTATATACTATACACGGGCTTGTCAGTGGTGAATGTTTTCCGATTGTTTTTGGGTGTCTAAAAGAAAAAAGTTTTGAAGTGTATTATAACTTTTTAGAAACTTTGAAAAATGTTGTTGGTAGTGATTTTTTAAACGGAGAAATGATTGTTATGGGAGATTTTGAGTTGTGTTTTATTAAGAATTTGTTTCCTAAACAAGTCAAAGTAAAGTGTTGTCACTTTCATTATTGCCAGAATATATTTCGGAAAGTTTCTTATTGTGGATTTAAACACCGTTATAAAAATGGAGACGAGTTTAAAAGTGCAATCAGAAAATTGATGTCTTTATCGTTTATGTCGGTTAGTATGATATACACAACATTTTATGAATTAAAAGAAATTTATAAAGATGACGCCGACATTTGTGTTATTTATAAACACTTTGAAAATTATTACATAAACGGCGTTTTTAAAGTTGACAATTGGTGTTTATTTGGTATTGAAGAACGAACAAACAATAATGCAGAAAGTTTTCACAGTTCTTTAAATAGGTTAGTATTAACAAAAACACCTAATATACACAAATTTGTTGACAATTTAAAGGAATATATAAAACGTGTTGACATTCATTATTTTTCGTTGACGACAAATTTGCAATTAACAAGGAAAAAGCGTGTTGTTGCAATGAAAAACATAACAATAAAACAACTGACAACTGAATTGATGAATGGAATGGATCAACTTGAGTTTCTTGAAAAAGTATCTGTTATTATTGGTGCTTCGAAAATGCATACACTTCTCGATTGTGATATTGATACTCTTATTGAAGAAACATTAAGAGAAAACGACCTTGTAGAAAGGCTCGAAGCTGAAGCAAACATGGATAATAAAGCCGAACACAATTTGGAAAAAGTTGTTGAAATAGATTTCGAAGAAAAAAGCGCAGTAAAATATGTTATAAACGAAGATGAATGTACTTCAACAACTGAAAAAACAAAACCTATCCACAAAAAGAAAACAAGAGAAGGATCCAGACCATTAAGAAAAAGCAAAATATTCAAGGAACTTAAAAGAGCCAAAAAATAATACAAATTTAATTTTATATTGGTTATGTTTTTGAATAAAACGTTGAATTGTTATTGAACTTTTATTGAATATTGTGGCCAGTTTTCTACGTGGCCAGTTTTTACTGTGGCCAGTTTTCCTAAACCCAAAATTTTGAACCAAAAAGTAGTTAAACAAAAAATATTAAATTAATAAACAAAAATATTTGTATTATACAAAACAAATAATTGGTAATTTTTATGATTACAGTAAAAAGTGTCTTTTTGTGGGTTTTTATATTTGTGGGTCAATGGACCAATCAAATGCTAAACCCATAAATAATTATTTTGCTCTCTAACCTTGAATTTAGGTACACTTAGATAAATAATATAGTTTTATTATAATTAAAAAAACTACAATATTTTCTATAACACTGTTTTTTTGTGGAAAAAATGGTGAATAGAATTTACTTCACAATTCCATGATAAACCCACAAATAAACCTTTTTTCTCTGTTTAAAAACCCACAAACAAACACTTTTTATTGTAAACAAATCATCTAAAGTTTGAATATAGGGCAGTCTTTTAATGTTATTCAGTGGAAAAATAAATAGCAATAAATTTATATAAACATTACATTAAGTTAACCGCAAAAAATGGAACAATTGGGATATATTTTTTTGTACAACTTCTCGAAATGACTTAATAATCTATAAGGTACATGATAAACTTTAAATATAGACTGTAGATTTAATCACAACTTGTGTATTTCACATCATAACCACGAGTTTAATTAATTCATAAAAAAACATAAAAAGGTTGTTGAGTCAAACACTTTATAATCAATATATACAATCACCATCACATTATAATTTATACAATATTACATATTACATTTAAAACTTTAAAACAATTGTTAAACATGACATGATACAAAAACAAATAAATTAAAAAATATATTTCTTTATTCAATATAACTTTTTATATATGTCGACATTCATTTAACGAAAATTTTTGAATATTTATTTTTTAAGGCTCTTTGTTTATAACAAAACAAAGATGTTCACCAAGTCCAATACATTTGTAATAACCGAGTTTTCTTTATGAATTTGGCAAAAATTTAATTATTATGATCTGAACTTAAGGAATAAAGACCAATAAATCATTAATTGAAATTATTTTTTCATATTTGAGTTGTTGTTTTCAATTTGAATATATAATATTAACATTAAATTATATAAAAATTTGCTTAAAAGTATATGATTCTCGTTATTTTTATGATCATTCAAATTAATGACGTACCCACAAAATATAATTGGTTCAACACAAAAAATTGAATTAACAATCTGTATCATATGGATTCACATACTCGGGTTTTATAACTCAATGAAAGAATTAACAATTTTTGTTTTTTGATTCGATTAAAATTTCATTACTATTAAAACTTAGACTACGGAACAAAAGATCTTAATATCTCATGTGCATGTATTTGTGAGCTCCAAGTCAAAAGATAAAAATGCTGTAAATGTGATAATTTTATTTTAGTTGTGTTAGTATTTAAAGATTGAATTTGATTTCACATGTTTACACAGTTGATAGTTATTACGTTTTTGGGCTGTTTTTTAAAACAAAAGAGTAGCAAAAAACAATAATTTTTAAATTATTTAAAAAATAATAAATACACTTTTTTATTTCAATTAATCATAAAAGTAAGTGATGTTGTCAAAATACACGTGTTTACTGTTGTGTGTTGTAATATTAACAAAATAAAACAATTTTAATTGTATATAATAGCTCATTAACATGTAATTATCAACAATAAGCGATTTAATGATCATTATGAACAATGACGTAGTCAAACAATGAAATAAGTAACAATTGATAATATTTGACTTTTTTTTCGTTTTAAACAAAATGTCACATCAATAACACATAAGTTACAATCAATATTTGAAAATAACAATGTCATTAACAGTCATCATTCAACTTAAAATTTTATTTAACTATACATGTATATTAACAATTATGTATGTTTGTTAATAATTTATTTAAACGTTTTTATGTGTTGATAACTTTGTTGTGTAAAATATTGAAAACATATTTTATTTGGTATTAATATTATTTGTTTTTTTATAGTTTACTTTAATAACTATTTTTACAAAATTTGACAAAAATGCATTTTTGATAATAATTTGGATTTTTGACAAAAACAAAAAAAAACAAAATTTTGGGTTTTTTATTTATTTTTTTCAAAGTCGATTCAGTTTTACAGTTTATGATTATGTTTCTTAATAATTGTGTTTGAATAAATTAATCCCAAAAGTGGAGATAAAGCTATTAAAAATTATTAAATTCTTGAATGTGTTTTTTTTCAGTTTGAAAAAAAATAGAAAAAAACTTCAGTCCACAAACTGCAAAGCACTAACTATTACAGTCAAAGGCGTCTATTTGTCGTAATTATAATTGTCGAACTTGCTTATTTGTCGCACAACTGGCCAATCATTTTTGTGTACGACAATTAAATATTTTGTTCTCGAATCTGTAACTTTTGTTGAATTAAAAACTATTTTTTTATAAAAAATAAATTTCAATATTAAAAAGAAATTTCTACAAAATTCACTCATTTACGACAAATAGATACATTTTTCTGCTGGATTTACGACAAATAGACGCCTTTGACTGTAAAGTCGACCAGAAAATTGTCGTACACTAGAAAATACTCGTACACTTCCTAAAATAGATTTGTGTACATAAATTACATTTTTTAAAAAAAGGTTAATAAAAATTTCTTTGTACTTTTCTCGATATAAGAAACAATTCGAAACTGTTTTCAAATCAAAAACGTTGAACTTTTATTGAAATGTATAAAAAGATTCGTGCTGTTTAGAGAAACAATCATTCAATAAACCATTGATTAACCATTAACAAACTATAAAATTACAAATCAGTTG